TTTTCAGCGAATATTCTAGCCCGCATCGCGTCACTAGCCAGACCAGATACGAACTGGTCGCGTAAGTTCTCCTCGATGGTCGAGCATGTGGTGCACTTGCCGAAGTTGCAGGTGGCCGCGAGATGTTTCAGCGCCTGTAGATATTCGGTGAGCGACTCGCCAGGCCTTTGGCGCCGCAGACGGAACACGTGCCGCTCCGCGATTTCGGAGCGCTGGGGCTCCAAGTGCTCGGTGACTAGCCGTACCAATTGCTCATACGTCTTGTCTTCCGGGAAAGACGGCGCACACAAATCGCACATTAACGCATACGTTTCTTCACCTACCACCGTTATTAACGTAGGCACCTTCAAATCGTCGCGTATTTCATTTAGTAAAATATATTGATTAACGCGGCGTATATAAGCCGGCCACTGTTTCGAACTTAACGAAAATGCTTCTATTTTACCTATCGGCATTTTGTACACTACAATAATACTAACGACAAAGTATTCTATAACCACAAAAGAGAAAAAAAAATAATTATCCCGCACTCGTCGCCAGTGATACGTCAATAAAACAACGGGGTAGGTAACGAACTGATTTATTAAAGTCGCCGTGCAACACTATAAACACAAATACCTTACACGAATGTTTGGATGTATGTATCTTTCTTACAAGGTATCTCCAGGCTGGCTACATGGATTTTACTGAAATTTGGCATAGATGTAGTATAGTCTGGAAGAATACATAGGCTAGGACTAATTAAGTTTTTAGTCTACACGGACGGAGTCGCAGGCGACAGCTAGTATATTCGACAAGAATACTTTATTCTTTCTCTATTCGATAAAAAGACAAGACGTTTTCCAACTATCAGCAACGTTAGGGCTGCAAACACAAAAATAAAGTCGATATCGAACGCCCGTTTACGACCATCATAAAACTTGGTAATATATCGAAGAGACGCACCCCTGACGCCTTTATTTGGCCCAGCTGGTATTACATGTGATCAGATATTATTGATTTTTATTTTGTTAAGGCAATGTTATATCCAGAAATGTTTTTATATAAATACATAACTTATTGATTAGTCGCTAGGCATTTTTCTCGATTGAATACAGTTTCTAACTAGATTATCATTGTATTATACCTTTACGAACCACAATGCCTATTACAAATTATTTTAACTAAGTTTGATTTTATTAATCAATAAATTCAGACCCTGATTTCTATTTAAACGATCCTAGGAAAGACGGTGACATAGCGTGGTCCTATATTACAGTTATACTGTGGAACCAAAGGAAGGGGTCTCACCTGGGAAGGTAAATGCTGAAGGTTCAGATGTTCCTAGGATATTCCGGAACCCTCTTTTAGTGGGTCAAATCCCCCGCCCTTGAAGGCTCGGAGCCTACTCTAAGTTAAGAGTGATTAGGCCATAGTCAACCACGCTGGCCAAGTGCCGGTTGGTTTTCATATCTTTTGAATTTCTTCTTGGATATGTGCAGGTTGCATCACGATGTTTTCCTTTACCGTAAGAACCTCAGATATTTTTTTTAAAATTACAACAAGTTTTCATTGCCGAAACACTTTTAAAAACTATACTCATTGTCTGTTTGATTTTTATCATTATAAAATGGCAAACGATCAACCTAGATTCTGGGTGAAGCCACCGCTACCCATAGATATCCAGAATTGCAGATGCGTTGCCTCCCTTTAATCGACAGAGTAGACGCACACAAAATGTGTATTTCCCCTTCCTATGCGACAAGTTCCCTTTTGCTACACACCTTTTTGTAATGAGAAAAAATTGGGAAGCGCTAGAGAACTAACGGCGGTAACACATGCGTAAGTCGAAACGCGGTATTAATTGCCTTCGATGTGGTCATGGTATTGCATGGAGACGGCCAATTCGTGCTGATGTTGTCGGCGTCTACTACTGTTTGAACTTCATCATTGAAACAAACTGTAAACTATTGTTAATTTAAAAGTCAAACGATTACAGTAGTCTGTCGACACGTGAATTTTATTGCCTCTTTGAATCGTTTCCTTTTGGGTGTACTCTTTAACAGAATAGGGATGTAAGGGGATGGGTAGTGGGGTAGGGGTAGTAAGTTTTACGAGGGCTATAAAAGCGGTTAATATACTTAGTGGGAGTGCTCCACGCGTGATCGAAATATGTCCGTGGTATTGTCTATTTGAACGGAGATCGTTTGAAATAAATAAACGTAACAGTTTTGATGTAAAATAAACCTTATAACTGTGTTACTAAAGTGTATAATACTTTGTTTTTTTTGCTATGGTCTATTGCAATTTAAGGTTATGATTTGTTGTTCCAGTTTTTATTATTATTGATCTGATTAAAAGGGATTGGAT